CATGTCCCAGGATTGCCCCACGAAATCAAAGTGTGCGTGGCTAAAGTTGGTCTGTTATTGTCCAATGATATCAAAGTATGAGTGGCTAAGCATGTCCCAACATTGTCCAATGATATCAAAGTGTGCGTGCGTGGCTAAACATGTCCCATGGTTTTTCAATGGCATCAAAGTGCGCGTGGCTAAATTTAATCTGTTATTATCCAATGATATAAGAAAGTGCGTGGGTAAACATTTCCCAGGATTGTCCAATGATATCAAAGTATGCGTGGCTAAGCATGTCCCAGGATTGCACAACGACATCAAAGTGTGCGTGGCTAAAGTTGGTCTGTTATTGTCCAATGACATCAAAGTGTCCGTGGCTAAAGTTGGTCTGTTATTGTCCAATGACATCAAAGTGTGCGTGGCTAAAGTTGGTATGTTATTGTCCAATGATATCAAAGTGTGCGTGCGTGGCTAAATATGTCCCAGGATTTTTTAATGGCATCAAAGTGTGCGTGGCTAAAGTTGGTCTGTTATTGTCCATTGATATCAAAGTATGAATGGCTAAGCATGTCCCAGGATTGTCCAATGATTTCGGGGTGTGCGTGGCTAAGCATGGCCCGGAATTGTCAAATGACATCAGTGTGCGTGGTTAAAGTTAGTCAGTGGACTGCTCAATGATATCACAGTGCGTGGATTGTCCTATGACCATCTCAAACTATTTGTGTTTTAATATGAAAAATAGTTTTCCGGTTAATCAAAAAAATTAAACTATTTTTTACTACATAAATGAAGAAACGATTGTTATAATTTTTTAAGTGATAATTTTTTTGATGTGACTGTTTTGTTGATTGGTCAACCATAAATGTCAAAAAGCTTGTAAACGGGATCGTCCTGATTGAAATACTTGGTGTGCAATAAAAAATGCAAATGTCAACTAGACGGTTCTTTAAATAAATTCCGTCATATAAAAATACAGCGTTGGAAAATTATAAAATAGTAGCCTTTATTTACTGGGCCATTTCGCCCAAAGCGTTTTTTACCCATTAGTCACGTGGCCGATTTCGATTTCGAACCGGCTGCCAGGAAAAGTGCCAAACATTCCTGCGGGGTTGCGAGCGAAAGCGAAAAATTTGTCTCAAAAAAAGATTTATCGCTTTTTTTTAACGATTCGAAGAAAAAGGAAAAAGTTGTAGATTATCTAGTTCCTTAACTCAAACTTAATTGTGAAAAAAATCTCTTGATTATCTCTTCTCCTTGGCAAAAAGAAACCTGCAACAGCGGGATCCAGGCTTTTACGGATAGAACTTCACAAAAAAGTAATAAATATATTCCATCTCGTAGGGTGAATAAGCTAATCAGTGGATTGTCCAACGGCATCAAATAAAGGGTATTTATGGATTGGAGTAATGGATTGACCAACGATATCCAAGTTGATGAGGCAAATATGATTTATTGCACTGTCGTGTTTGATAGGGATATGAACAAAAGAGGTGGCCACAAGGCCTTCTGCAACTAGACCTGAGTAGAACTATTGTGCTACTATTTTATACACCATGGCTAGTCGGTGGATTGTCTGATGGTATCAAAAGGGGCGTGGCTGACCTAGTCGGTCTATTATCTGATGGCATCAAAATGGGCATGGGTAACCTAGCCGGTGGATTGTCTGATGGCATCAAAATGGGCGTGGCTGACCTAGTCGGTGGATTGTCTAAACTCTAATGGCATCAAAATGGGCATGGCTGACCTAGCCGGTGGACTGTCTAATGGCATCAAATGGGCGTGGCTGACCTAACCGGTGGATTGTCTGATGGCATCAAAATGGGCGTGGCTGACCTAGTCGGTGGATTGTCTAAACTCTAATGGCATCAAAATGGGCGTGGCTGACCTAGCCGGTGGATTGTCTGATGGCATCAAAATGGGCGTGGCTGACCTAGTCGGTGGATTGTCGAAACTCTAATGGCATCAAAATGGGCGTGGCTGACCGAGTCGGTGGATTGTCTAATCTCTAATAACATCAAAATGGGCGTGGCTGTGGTATTTAGTAGAGGATTGACCAATGATATCAAAGTTGGGAGACATAATGACATCAAAATGGCGTGGCTGACCTAGTCGGTGGATTGTCTAATCTCTAATGACATCAAAATGGGCGTGGCTGTGGTATTTAGTAGAGGATTGACCAATGGTATCAAAGTTGGAAGATTTAATGACATCAAAATGGCGTGGCTGATCTAGTCGGTGGAATGTCTAATGACATCAAAATAGGTGCGACAAACCTAGTCTGTGGATTGTATAATGACGTGAAAGTGTAGGCGTAGTAAAAACTACACATCCTATCTCACGGTTTTCATCTTATCCTCAACTCTAAATTTCATCCCAAAAGAAAAGAAATTTTATAGTCATCTCTTGAATCTGGCTTCCTTGCAGAAAAAGAGAAGCTTGTAATCATTGTAATAACTGGATTCAGGTTTCTCCAGTCTACTTCAAAAAGTGAAAACTGGTAAATTTGGTTCCTGTCAATTATTCATACACTTTTTTTATTTGCAGCGGAGCAACAAAGAGTATAGGTTGTAAATAAACAAAAAAGGGAACAAAATGTAGTCGATTGGCCGTGTGAAATATCTGTTTAGCCCCGGTTGTATACAGGACGCCGCCAACTTCACCCATGGATAAACGGATGTTGGCGCCAGACGTACACACACGGATTCCCGCGTTCGTAGCAGACGGTTTGCCGGCTATTTTCAGAAAAAATTGGTCCCCATCGAGATCGGAAATGTAAAAAAAAAACACTTCCTGGTTGTGATTGGGCGGTGACAGAGTAAACAGACTGTTGCACGCGACCGACCGTGTCTCGCAAGAAATCGTGAAATTGGCCGGACGGAAGTACCACACATAACTGAAATAATAAATAGCGTAAACTATAAAAATTCGAAAAACCATGTCAAAGGTATCCGTCGAATGTAGAGTTGACTATGTATCTCTTTTATCTACCTCTAAAGGTAGAATAAAGCTACACAGGATTGGTGTCATATTTTATGTAAAATTGGTCAAATACATTTTTAACTTGTTGTTTGACTACCCAGCTTAGCTACACTTACTGTCGTCATTGGTTCACTGAACCAGCTGATCTCCAGTCATACGCTGATCTATTAACTGACCATCAGGGCCAAAACTGGACTATTGACTAGCTAATCAGTTTATTCAAGCTGCAATACATGCAATCGACCCTTGTACCTCAGAAAATCTTAAAAGAGGTAACACTGCCAAAAAAAATCCTTAAATATATGGATGACCAAACAGTTATTATATTAAAACATAAGCATGTAAATTAATCAGTGAATGCATATAAAATCATCAAACCAATTTTGGGATCTGATGTGAGAGGGTCGATGGCGGAATATCGAGTACCCCATAGTAAAGTTTGTGATGAGAGTGAATGTATTTATTAGCGTGAATGTGTCACGCGAGAGGGCCGATGGCGGAATATCGAGTACCCCATCGACCCTCAATTAGGTTAGTTGTACAATATGAGTAAAGTTTGTGTTGAGAGTGAATGTATTTATTAGCGTGAATGTGTTACGTGAGAAGGCCGATGGCGGAATATCGAGTACACCATCGACCCTCAATTAGGTTAGTTTTATAATATGTGTAAAGGGTAATTTGAGTCCTCCATCACCTTAATTGAATAAATGGTATGTAAAGTAGGATTGATTGTATTTAAGGATGACCGTGAGTACTAATGGTTTGGAACTGCATGCGTTGGGTGTTGAATTGACCTAGCCGTTGACAGCACTCGGGGTAGGTGATTCTCGAGTCTGCCGGCAGTTCACTGTAAACAGCAAAAGCTAGACTACGAGAAGCGAATCACGGAAACATTTTTTACGACAACCTATAACAGACTATAAAGGAGAAGAAGAACTCAGGAGAGCATCCGATACAATGATATGGTATGCAGATGGCTCGAAAACAAGGAAGGAACCGGATTTCTATACAAGACCCACTCCTTATTACCTTATCCTGAAATACTACCTAGCAGACCGCTGCTTCAGAGTGAGGAGCGGCAATGAGTTCTCGGAAATCAGACAGATACATCGTTCCACAAGGGGGTATTCTTGGTCCCTTCCTTTATTATCATTTATACTGCTGGCCTACCTGTACACCCTAATATCACCTACGCGGACGATACCGCCATTTTGTCCTCTACCTCGAATCCTATACAACCTACCTCCAGCAATAAGCAAACCTTGGACATATCGAAGACTGATGTAAAAAGTTTTCACATTGAGAAAACAGTCTTGCCTGCCTTGAGAAATGCCATCCCTGATCTCTAACTTACTGGTGATATCTTGACGGTCGATTCATCCCTTCCTTCGATAACTATCTTTAAAGGCCGATTTGGCAAGTAACACGTAAAAAAAAGTGTTTATATTTTGACAAATCCGCTTTATGGAATGGAACAAAAAGCCACTGTGGGCATTTCTTTGGCTGTCTGTTCCCCCCCCCCCCCAAATTGGTAAATTTTGACGGACGGCTGTCGATATTGTTCCGACTGTCGGCATGTCGGCCATCATGCTCGTCCTAAAATCTGCCAGATAACGTTGCTTCGGGCCAAAGGGTCGGCTCATTTAGAAAAGAAATGTAGGAAAACAACCGGAGCAAGGACGTTAATCGTAATTGCATTTCTAATTCTGTGTATTTAAATATGAGCGGGGAGAACAATTACCCGGTTCGAGATTAGGGCAATGTCAGTTGTCAGTTCTAAAATTAAAAAATAAGCTTCGGACCTGGTTTTGAGCCAAGCTGTTAATCAGAGCGTGCTCGGGCATCGCTTTTTTCCTTCTTTTTCATCTTCTTCTCCCGTGAAGGGGGATTAGACGTGCAGGGAGGGATTTGCGGCTCAGAAAACCGAAGCGGAAGCCCTTTTAGTGACTGTTATTCTTGGGGGGTCCTCAATCCGACATTATTTTTACAGGCGGGCTACCATCTATTAGTCGAATGGGGAAAAATCGTGTCCAACTCACCGGGGACGGTTTGTTGTCCTTCTCAAAACCAATTCGTCCGATGATTTGTACACTAACCTGAAACAGAAAACATATTAAGTAAATAACTTTCTTTTCGATCGTTTAACGTAGTGGGTAAAACGGATCTCGTGTGACGTGGAAAAAGGGCTGTGAAACGACAAAGAAAAACGTCTGGAAGAAATGCACAAGATGAATGAGATTTAAATAAAACACAAATATAAATCATTAGGATTTTGAATGAAAGCCCGAAGGAAGCAGGTGGAGAGTCATAAGGACCCGAAGAGGAGAAATCACGACCTCGGCAATTTTCGAGAATATATCACAGAAGGATTTAATATTTATAAATCCAAGGGCACCTCATCTGAAGAAGGTGGAAAAATCACCAGACAGGTGCCACAGCCCTATCCGGCTATTTTAATTTCGGCGAAATCTTTGTGAAATAATTATTAACTAATAATGACAATATATACCGATCTTCTGCGGATAGAGATGTCAATTTTTTTTGTTGAAATAGTCATTTATAATAGGTTATTTGTCCAATGAGGTCAAAGTGGGGGTGGTTCGCTGGTAGGTCTAAGTAGGCGTGACTTAGCTGGTCTGCTCGTTGGCCAATGACGTCATTATTTGATTGAAAGCCGGTAGATCAGCAAATCAATTGCTGTTTGGTAAGATCATCCAATGACATCATTGTTGGCGTCCCTAAGCAGGTCTGTTGTTATATGAAGTCTGCTCCCTTGACGTCAAATTGACCTATGCTAACCAGTTTGAACCAATAACTAACGAATTTACAATGGACGTGGCTTTGCTGTTTGGTGAAATAGTCCAGTGAGATGAAAGTAAACTCTGATTTTTTATGATTTCTTCGACCGATAGATGTCAATTTTTTTGTTGAAATAGTCATTTATAATAGGTTATTTGTCCAATGAGGTCAAAGTGGGGATGGTTTGCTGGTACTAAGTAGGCGTGACTTAGCTGGTCTTCTCATTGTCCAATGACGTCATTATTTGATTGATAGCCGGCTAGATCAGCAAATCTACGATGCAATTGCTGTTTGGTAAGATCGTTCAATGACATCATTGTTGGCGTCCCTAAACAGGTCTGTTGTTACATGACGTAAAAGACTGCTCCCTTGACGTCAAATTGACCTATGCTAACCAGTTTGAACCAATAACTAACGACTTCACAACGGGCGTGGTTTGCTGTTTGGTCAAATAGTCCAGTGAGAAGAAAGTAAACTATGATTTTTTATATTACTCAATGAGATCAAAATAGGCTTTATTAAGTTCGTCTATTTACTGACCTGACGAACGTTTTCATCGGCAGTTTCTATGGCATCAAAGTGGGCGTAGCTATTAAGTCATTTAAATGACGTCATTAGTTCAATGTCTTCAACTAACCAATGATTTTTTCTAATACAGATTAGATTTCATCATTTACAAAAATTGAATCAACACACCTCACCTTCAACATGGTTAAGGTGTATACAATTTTTTTCACCTCATTCTTCTTCGTTTTCTGAATACATTTCTTCTGCAAAACATTTTTTTTAAACATAATAATGTTTAATTTTTATTAAAAAAAAAAAAAAAATGTCTATTCGCGTGTGCTAGACCTTCACTGGGTTTAATTAGCGACGAGAATGGGCGGACCCAACAATAGAAATTTTTGTTACAGCTCCATCGGGACAATATTTTGATAAGATCATTGTAAATGTATAACATTAAAGATTGAGCGTTATAAGAGCAATAACAAATACAACTTGATAAAACAGATTAACTGGATTAAAAAAAAAATCATAGCTGACCATACTATGTTTCCTCCTTCAAGTTCCCAACTAGTGTGTATTAATTTAAAAATATTTCCCTTATTTTTGCCGACGCGTTTAAAATAAACGCGTAAACTTTTTAATTGGCTTCCGGGGTCGGATTTATAACCACGCCGTCGAATCGGACTTAATTTTAGCCAGGAGATCATAATCAGGTAGCCGCGAACTTCCACCGCACGATGAAAATAGACGCTGAATAATCCTAGTCTTGTTTACCTATTCACGTCTTACGGCTCGAACCGTATGGTGAATTTTAAAGGGGAAAAAAGGGGAAAGATAGAGAGAGGAAAATTTCTGGAACAAACAACACTCAGGAGACGGACAAGTCTATTTCTACGACGTCCTTTAAGCCGGGCGTGAAGAGCCTTCACACTCCAATACCTACGAAAACGCAGGACTGCGGCCAATTCTGCAGTATAAACCGTATCAAACAAATAGGTGAGGTTAGTACGTAGAGTCACTTTTTGACTGTATAATTTATGTAATTCATTAATAGGATTTTATAGCATAATTTAGCATGGGGTTTGGCTTAATTTCAACTTTAAAAGGAAAGGCCCAGGCTACGACCTAATCACTCCCATCATCCAAACTACCATTCATTCTCTTTACAACCTACTTATTCAATGCCGTCCTAGGAACAACCCATTTCCCCACCTGTTCGAAATTTTCTTCCATCAGGATAATCCCAAAACCTAAGAAACCAAATAACCTTACTAGCTCCTACCGACCAATCAGTCTTTTGCCCATTTTTCGCAAAATACTGGAAAAGCTAGTTTTGATCCGTTTGTGCAAGGAAATTCCTACAAACACAATTACCCATCACCAATTCGGCATTCGGAGTTGCCACTGTACAACAAACACATTGAATAATCTACGTTATTCTCAGATCCCTTGAGATAAAACAGTATTGCCCGGTGTTCTTGGATAAACACCAGGCCTTTGACCGAGTATGGCAATCTGAGCTGCTGTGAAAGCTCAAGGACATCCTACCAGCAACCTATTACCTTATCCTAAAATCCTATCTTAACGTTCCAAGTTCCACAGAAATTCATTGTCTCCTATCCATCCTATACCAGCGCGTGTCACATAGGGCAGAGTTCTCGCTCCTTTCCTTTATTCAATTTATACCTCCGACCTACCTACGCAGCGTAACACTATCATCTTCATCTTTACCGATGATACCGCAATCCTTTCTGTTCGGGCGCGTCGTCGTCAGAGAAGCGCCCGATTTGTGACGTACACTGTACCCTTCTATCTACAACCCCTGTCTTCTCAAAATCCACCAATAACAACACGCTTACCTCCTTTTTCTTCAAAAACCCGCCCCTTCCAGCCTTTTTCATCCATCAAAACATGTTACAGACGTTTTCATAGTAAGTTACAAAATCACGCTACCACTCAAATTTGATTACTCCATTCCCCACAATTACCACTGAAAAGAATATGGATAAGAGACCTCTTAGATGATTAATATGATTTTATTAATCCATAGCGGCTGCCAATGCTTCTCAAAAACGCCGGTTATACCATAAACATAAATTGAAATCAAATCTGCTGGTTTAATACAAGTACAGTTGTAGATACAAATAAATGAAGTAAAAAAAAGATATACATGAATAAATTCATTCAACCAGAATTATATCTGGACCCTCCGTTTCAAAATTAATGAATTCGATTTTTTTTTTTGAGATGACTTAATAAAGGGTAAAAATTTCTCTGTGTGTGTGTGTGTGTGTGTGTGAGATTGTATGTGTTTTGTTGTGTAAATTGTCTTAAATCTGAATTGGTACGTAACAAATAAATTATGTTAAACTATGAAAATCGTTGTTGTTTGAAGGTTGAATACTATTAGTAGCATATATTTTATTATTTACTTTCATTAATTCATAAATTTCAGATCGTGCCAATATTTGCTGAATAATTATTAGATCGAACTTTAAAAATTTCGACAATATCAAAATTTTATTGAATGCTGTTTACCAACTGTATTTTTTTAATGTGCTTAATTTATAAATGTGTGGTGATTAGTGACCGTTAGTCGATGATTATTCAGAAATCGTGAGATGCGGCGTGGTATGATGTAGGTTTCAGAAAAACATTTTCTTTATCGTGCCAACGTTTCGATCTTTATTGAGATCATCTTCAGGGCTCAAAGTGTTTGTCTTGTGAGAGTGCCCCTTCTAAACACGACACGCAAAAATGGCACAATTGCACAGAAGACAAACACTTTGAACCCTGAAGATGATCTCAATAAAGATCGAAACGTTGGCACGATAAAGAAAATGTTTTTCTGATACCTCCATCACACCAGACCGCATCTCACGATTTCTGAATAATAAAAAATATATTTCGCATTGTATAAATTCACTTTTTTCCACATCCTACATGTATTTGTTAAATTTAAACTATGTTTGTAAATCCCAGGCCCTGAAGATGATCTCAATAAAGATCGAAACGTTGGCACGATAAAGAAAATGTTTTTCAGAAACCTACATCATACCAGACCGCATCTGACGATTTCTAAATAATAATTTATAAATATTGGTGTGATTTTTTTTTAAATGTGGTTCTGTTAGGAATGTCCATTTAATAAATTGTTTTTTGTGTTATTTGTAAAACAAAATATATCATGGGAGGGGGGGGGATTTTTTGGATAAACCGTTAAATTCAGGGTACGTAGTGAGTGAGAGTGGAGTATTTTTAATTGAAGTATGGATTCGGAACACCACTCAGGGGGGTGGAAACCGTGCTAAGGTCAGACGGGAGAAGAGACGGTCCGGTGCCGAAAACGTCCCCCGTCCGGAAACCCGGGCAGGTGAGCCAGGTGGGCGGAATGTGGCGTAGGTCAGTCGAGATGGTACGGAAATAAACGGGGGCACCCCTTTTTGCCGAGCACATTAAAAAAAGATGCGGAAAAACGGCGGCCATCCTCGACCCAGTTGGGCGGACAGTGCGGCAAAACACGCATATCCGTCGGGTCACGCTATTTTGCATAGTTGCCCCTTCGACGACCACTATAGGGACGATCCACTCACGCTTATCTCAAAAAGAAAATCTACAACTGGCATGTTAAAACTATAATAAAAGCACCGCTGACTTAGTCCGTACTTACCACAAAATCCCCCCACAAAAAACATCGCAGGAGATTCGTCTGGGAAGCTATTTACGGTGCGGAAGGCCAAGGGCGATGGTGGATCTAGTGCCGCCGGGCTGGAGAATACCATGGACAACA